TGGTTCAGTGGGTGAGGAAGCAGGCTGGAGTACACATTTTGCACACCAGGTGTGAAGCGTTGCTGGAACCAAAGAGGTCAGCCAGAGGTAGACAGTACATTTGCTCTCGATGTAAAAGTGTGACATTCGCAGAAAATCCCAACAAATAACTCAGAGGAGCTGAACGCTGCTCTCTCCCTCCGGACGGGAAACAAAAACTGACAAGTGTGCTTATTGAGACCCTCGGTCATATTCTTTTATTGTTCCTCGTGCCTTTATGTCTGGTTTTAGCGTAAGAAAACAGCGAGTGACCAATTTTCACTGTAACTTTTGTTAAAACCAGAACAAATGCAGGTGATCTGGAGAAACCGTTTCACTCTGACCTTCTGATAAGCTGGACAGATGAGTGTCTTTCACACCTCTGCCAGAGTAAACACGTCCTCCTACTGCTGGCACTTGCTCACACTTGGGTGCTGTCGTGTTTTTATGAGTCCTCCCATCAGGCAGCTGCCCCTGACATGGGAACGGACGAGCTGAGCTCCAGAAACAGAGCATGACTCAGCCGTACTCGACCTTTACTGCGTTTAAATATTCAACTTAATATGACAAAGCAAACACAACCGAATAACAAGTCCTAACTTTATGTTTTTTATTTATAGTATTCAAAGACTTTTTCTTAATTTCTGTTCAAACAGTAAAGTTAGAACAATCAGACTGATATTTCCACATCCTGTTGAAAATCTCTGTTCCAAACTTAAAATTTAACGTTTTCACTTGTGAAAATGTCAAAAAAAGTATGTGAAGTTCATGTTTTTCTAACACGTGTGATTTTTAAAAAGTGTGATGTCTACATTTATGTGGGCTTTTTTTTCTGTAAGGGGTGACAACCCCATTGTGTAGACTATTTAGTTCATCAAATCAAATTTAAGAAAATAATCTTTTATTTAAAAGGCTTTATTTGTTTTTGCCATGAATTCAGAATATCTACAAGACAGTATTTATGTATGCAAAATAATGTTGATCATCTTAAAAATCTCTTTCATAAATCTGTTTATTTCTGGAAAACCAGATATCATGGATTTAAATAAGAATATGTCAACTGTTTAAACTGAATTGAGAAAAGGTAAAACATTTACTTTACACTGACTAAGTCAATGTAAAGTTAACGTAAATGTGTTACCTTTACTGAATTCAGTTGAGTGGAAACTGTTGACATATTTCAAATTAGATCCCAGTGGTGGGATGTAATGAATACAAGTACTTTTTTACTGTACTTAAATATATTTTTCATGTATCTGTACTTAAGTAGATCTAATCATGGGCACTTTCAACTTTTACTCCACTACATTTCTGTCTGGATGTTCAACTCCACTATGTTTCATTACATTATGCATTCATGTCAGGTCACAATATGTTATTTATGTATGTATGTATGTATGTATGTATGTATGTATGCATTTTAATGGTTAGAATTCTTAAGTCAAAAGACTTCTGTTTTAAAATTGTGTGTAATTTTTATGTTCTTCCTATCTTGTGTGTATTTAATTTCT